AAATGTTAAGCTTCTTAACACATTTATATATACACACACGAATATAAAAAAAAGAGAGCGCGCGCAAGTTTTTTTCTGGGAGCCCGCGTTGCGAATGACATCCGTGCGAAGCCGAGAATTTTGAAGGATTCCGGCATGCGCGAGCGACGACGCGCGCGCGTGCACCTTGGCCCCTTTTGTGCAACGGGTTTTTGAAAACGCATGTTTTTATAACCGAGCGCGCGCGCATAGCATTTGTTGCAGAAGGTGGCGGGGGGGCGATAGGAAAAGGGAATGGATGGTGAGGAACAGAAGCGGGGAGCAACAAGAAAAGGAGGAGGAGGAGGAGGAAGAGGAGGAGGAGGAGGAGAGGAGAGGGGAGAAGAGCAGAAGGGACGAGGCGCGAAGCGCTGCGAATTCAAAGCGAGGACCTGACACGCGGGATGGTTGGGAGCAACAACGAAACAAATCAAGGGCCACCCGCGACAAGAGCGCGCGCGCACCAGGCAAACCAGCGGCACGCCGAGCACACGAGGCGCAGTGGCCACGCCGATCACAGCACACGCACGAAGCGAAAATCACAAAATACAAGCCGCGCCAAGCAGATAGCGGAACCACCTACCAACGCGCGCGCACGATGCTGGCACCGCCACTCGCTACAAGGAGCCTCCGATCCGCGACGAACCATCGCGAGGCCTCAAAAGGCACCTCATACTCAATGTTTCTGGGCAGCGATGTTGGTTCGGAACGGGGCATGGCTCTGGAGGGCGAGCGCGGACTTGCAATTCCCTGGCTAGCAGCGCCAGCAGTGAGAGCTGCCGAACTCGCGCGCGCTACAAACATCGACGGCACGGACGGACACGTTGGCATACGTTGGTTCATCCCGCTTCTGCCCGTGCCCAACAAAGAACTCAACGCGCGCCCGTCCAGGGCCCGCCGCGGGCCACGGCCCTCGACGCCCTCCAGGGGCGCGGTGGGTTCGGTCCCGATTGGTTGGCAAGCATTGAATATTGGACGCGTTGGGATGGTACGAAGTCATCTTTAAAATTGACGATGGGGCAGAATCATTTGCAAATTGCACTACGCAAACGGGGTCGATAATCCAGGGGAAATATTCTTATTGTATAATAACAATCGACTCTCCTGCACCGCGCTTGACCACCTCCCAGGCTCTTGCAAACATCCCACCCACCCACCCGCAACTTGGTTTGTAAAACCCATGCTGCGGTGATTGCGATGAGTGCTTGGCGTTGACTGGTGCATCTCTGCGGCCGCGCCAACCCAAGCACGCGCGCGCATCGGCCAGCTAGTTTGGCGCGACCGACGCGGCCGCGGTGGCGATGACCGCTGGGCGCATCCCAACGGGCACTTCAGTGCGAGTCGGCGACATGGGCGGGCGCAGTATCATGGCAACGTCGACGAAACGATGATGACAGTAGCGATGCTGGTGACGTTGTTGACAACAACGACGGCGCGGCCGGCGCGGGCGCAGATGCTGATCGCCCCAGTGACGATGACGGCGCCCTCGCGTCGGTGATGAAGGTTCTGGAAAGAGTTCGACATGGGCGCGCGGCCGACGCGCGAGAGTGGCCCGCATGGTATTGTTTGAAACGAGTCGTGCCCCCGCCCCCCCCCCCAGCACGCGCGCAAGGGCGTGCGAATGATTTCGGCATGCAGCGCCAAAGGCCCGTTCGGCAGAAATCCCTGGAAAGGTTGAAAACCATGGTTGTCTTAAGAATTCGCAAGAGGGCGAGCGCACTCGTGTTTGAACATTGATGTTGCGAAACTATATTTCTTATGTTGGTTGGAAAATAGACTTTTGACATCGCTACGAAGCCGCAGGTGTTGGACGGATTCCGGCATGCGCGCGCGACGACGCGCGAGCGTTGACTTCTCGTCCCATTTGTTGCAAACGGTCCTCGCGACGGCACTCGCGCAAGGACGTTCGAACGATTCAAACACGCGCACTCGCGAAGCCCGTGTGGTAGCAGTTTCTGGAAAAAACGATGAAAACACTGGTTTTCTGAAGAATTCGCAAGAGAGCGCGCGCAAGCTTTTTTTTGAAAATCCGTTTTGCGAAACACTGTGTGTTCATCTGTGATTTGGACACTCGGTTTAAGATGGCGGGGCGGGGGCGATACCGGCTTGGCTGGGATGGTATGAACTCATATTTAGGATGGACGATGGGGCAGAATCAAATGCAAACTGCACATCCCAAGGGGGGGGCGATCAGTCCGGCTTCGGGAGGGTGGTGGAGTCTATTTTCTTTTCAAGGGAGAATCTATTTCGTGCGACTAGGCGGCGACGGGGTGGCGACGGCGACCACAAAGCCGCCACACTGACCCCATGGCCCAGTTCCTTAGAAGACCCAAGCACCATTCTGGGCAGGGGCACACATTCGTCGATCGTTGAACTTCCTGAGGTGCTCAAGCGATTAGGTGGGTTCCAGAGGCCAACTGGGGAAGCCAAAAGGCACCGATACCGCTAACCCCGGACCTCTCCCAGGGTGCGTTCCGACCAGAACTTCGAGGCGAATCCGGCGGTGGCGACGAGGGCCTCCCAGGAGGCCCAAAAATGCGAAAACGAGGGAACGGTAGCGGCATGGGTGCCTTTTCCCCCTCCGGCCATCGCGATGCGTCTAAAAAGCCGCCCATGGGGCACGTGCAGGCAGGCCGGCTTCTTTCAGGCGCCTGCTGAATGGGGGGTGAGCCTCTAATGAGAGGTGAAGACAAGGGCCCCAAAGGGGCCCGTTTTAGAGAGCCCTTTTGGGAGCCAGCAGGGGCCCCCAAAGGAGTACTTACTGAAGTGCCCCTTTAGGGCCGCTTCCTTCACCCTCCTCCTCCTCCTCCTCCTCCTCCTCCTCCTCCTCCTCCTCCTCCTCCTCCTCCTCCTCCTCCCATTGGGTCCACCCCCCCACCCGCGCCCGCCCGACTCCTGTGGGACGTGCCCACTGCGGGGCGCACGTGCGGAGGGCCGGCGCGAGGGCCGAGCGGTGGAGAGCGGCGCGCGGCCACGTGCCGCCGAGGCCGGCCGCCCGCGCGGGGCACGGCGCGGCCTCGGCGACAAGCGCTGCTCGCCGAGGCGAGAGAGCGCCTGCGCGGCTCCCGGGCAGGGGCGGCCTCCGGTGCGCGGCCGCCGCCCACGGCTTCTGGGGGCCGCGGGGGGCGCTCGCAAGCCGGGCGGTGGGGGAGCCCCGTGGGCCCGCACCGGAGGGCGCTCCGGCGAGGGGCGCCTCCTATACGCAGCAGGGGAGACGCGTGGACACCCCATCCCAGGCTTCGTCGGCTTCTCGAATGGACCAGAAGCTTGAGGCCCAGCCCTGGGTACACGATGGAGGGGGCGTCCCTCCTCGATAGGGGTGCGTCCGAATAGCCCCCTCGGGGTGCATCCCAGGGTTCCCCTACTTTTCTGAGCGGCTTCATTTTTCGTCAAAATGTTGGGGGCTGGGAGAGAAACATCGCCTGCGACTACGTGCAGCCGACGAGAGCGGGAAGCGCAAGGGTTTGGGGGGGTGCCCTCTGGTGCCGCCGAAACCGACGCGTTCCCCCCCAAGCGCCGACCACGGTAATTAGCCCATGTTTCGGCCCGCGCCCATGTGCATCCAGGTTCCCTTTCCTTCTCGTTTCTCATGAGACACAGCCCCATCGCGCCTCAGCCAGCACAGCAAAAGGATTCGCCACTGCCACCACGAACTGCCCCCACGACCGACAGCGCTCAAGCGAGCCCGATGCCCGCGGCTCCTCTCGAAGCGTGCCGTCGAGTTCTGTGTGCAGCAGGCCCAGACATCCGCTGCTCCAATTTTTTGGGGAGCGTGGACCCCGGAGGTCCCGACCACTTCCCCGGGGCCGGTTCCTCGTCCCGAATCGAATCTTGACGCCCCCGAGGCCCGGCGAGGGCCCCCGGAGGCCGAACAAGGCCCCCGACTCCGCCCGCTCCGACTTTTCTCTGGAGCGTCGGAGCTCCGGGGGGAGGAGCAGCGCGGAGGAGGCCGCGAGCTGGGAGAGCGAGACCCCGGCGCCGTGGGCGGGAGCCCTGGACTTGAGCAGGGACCGACCGTCCCGGCATTCCTATAGTCCTACCACGAAATGTTCTTAGAACCCCAAAGATGTTCTAAGAACAGAAACAGTGTTCTTAGAGCATGAACCCGATGTGATAAAACAAGACAGTCCCGACCAGAAATGTTCTAAGAACATTTCGTGGGAACCACAAAAGGTTCTTAGAACATTGTTTGGTGGGGCTATAGGCGAGCCAGGACGCTTCGCCACTGCTTGACGGGCGGGACTCTCTCCACCGGCCCCCAGGGGGTGGTCTGCGGCCGGCGCGGCACGCGGGCCCCGCCCCTGGCGGCCCCCGTGGGCACGAGGTCGGGGGCCGAGCGGATCGGGCACGGCTGGCCCGCGGGGCCTCGGGGGGGGGCCCTGGGAGACACGGAGAAATAGACGCAGATAGAACGGGATTCCCCAGATGTTTCCTACATGTTCTGGGTCTTCGTCTCCCCCCCCCACTTCCCACAGCTTCCCCTCTTTTCTGGGGAAGCGACGATGACTTGTCTCTGTGGGCCTTTTGTCTCTCCTGAACCCCTGAGGGCCAGCGGATCCGAGGGACGCCTCCCAGGAGAAGGGCTCTCCAGACCAGGCTGCGAGCAGCGATTGCCCCCGCGCCCCCGCGGGTGACCCACGAGGGCTGCGCCCCAACGGCGCTCAGAAACGACTCCTGGAACCCTCCCAGGGTCCGGCCTGGCCAGTTGCAACGAGACCCTCTGGGAACGGCTATAAGCCTTCGAAACGTCGACGACGGCGATGTCGCCGTCGCCGTCGCCGTCGACGTCGACGTCCTCGTCCTGGTCGTCGTCGTCGTCATCGTCGTCGTCAGCGTCGTCGTCGTCGCCGTCGATAGCGACGTCGTCGTCGACAGCGACGCCGTCGCTGTCGACTCTGCGGGCGCCGCGGCCGCTCTGGGGGCGCCCCCCGGAGCGCGTCCCGAGGGCCTGCGGGGCGAGACGTCTGGAGAGTGCCGCGAGCTCACGCCTCCTCCTGCTCGCTCTGCGCGTCCCCGTCCTCCTCGCTCTC